TAAAAATCTTTATATCAGAAGTTATATATAGAACATGCCAGAAAAATATGAAACATTCATACTGAGGTCAATATTACAATTAAGTGTACATAATTTTAGGTATCTGGAAAAATGATATTAGCTTTTAAAGTTTAAGGGGGAAAAAACCTTTTTAATTTACAATATGATATGAATAAAACACAATTTATTTCCATGTACAATAAAAAAAGAAAAGGGAGGTAATAATTCATTATTGCAATTTTTAATTTGTTATACTCGTTTAGGTTGGTGGCCAAGGAGGATTTAATATGTAAGCCCTTGCATGACTATGTTCTACCAAAGGAGGATTGTCTCAGTGATGAATGGAAATTATTCGAGCTTGACATGAAAACTGTAACAGTGCAATATCTGGAGGAAATTATCTGTGATTTTAAATTTAGTATTAAGAAAACAGGAACCATGCATGGATTTTGTGCCTGGTTTGAAGTTGGATTTGGTACATCTGATCCAAATGGAGAACAAGTCCTACTCAATACAGGGCCTTTACATGAGTAAGTGAAACCAGATATCTCCCCTTTATACCTTTTAAATTATTTGCAGGTTACCAACTTTGGTAGTCTCATTATATTGCTGACTGTAGATAAATATATCTGATTTGCTTACTTACTTACAATGATTCTGTAAAGTTGTAATTGGTTAAACTATTTTTTTGCAAATTGGTTACTGACAAGAATCAGCATCAAGTACATGTACATGTTTTGTTTACCAGAAACACTCAGGTTCTTCTTTTTCATTGCTTTCAAGGGGTAATCAACTTTAGAATGTTGAACTTGTTGTCTACATGAAATCATTGAAATACTATATTGTACAAAAATATAATCAACAAAACAATTCACATGCAATTTAATTAGTGGACAAACAGATAACTACAAGATTTCTTGTTTGGTAACTGTTAGCCACAGTATATGTGAAATAATGTTGAGTCAGAGCTTAAGTTGTCAAATAAAATTGGAAAAATACAGGAAAGATTTAACCAATGGCAAACAAATTTCCTAGTAAACGTAAGAATAGGAAAATAGGAATGTATAGTCCACTATTAAATTATTATACATATTATATAGGAGTCACCCGGTGGTTGTTCTGTTGCATTTTCCTTGTCCGGAGCATAACTTGAAAAGTCAATATAACTTCATACAATGGTCAAGCACATTGAGAGGAAGTGCAGTGCACAAGAACCATAACTCCATCTTGACTAATTACAGAGTTATTGCCCTTTGTTACTTTTCCTTGTCCGGAGCATAACTTGAAAACTACTGGTTGGAATTCAAAACAACTTCATACAATTGTCAAGCACAATAAGGGGAAGTGCAGTGCACAAGAACCATAACTCTATCTAAAGTAATTACAGAGTTATTGCCCTTTGTTACTTCTCATTGCTTTCTTTTGTCCGGACCATAACTTGAAGACAAATGGTTGGAATTCAATATAACATCATACAATGGTCAAGCACATTGAGAGGAAATGCAGTTCACAAGAACCATAACTCCATCTTGACTAATTACAGAGTTACTGCCCTTTGTTACTTTTCCTTGTCCTGACCATTACTTGAAAACTACTGGTTGGAATTCAATACAACTTCATACAGTTGTCAAGCACATTAAGAGGAAGTGCAGTGCACAAGAACCATAACACCATTTTGACAAATTACAGAGTTATTGCCCTTTGATACTTTTCCTTGTCCAGAGCATAACTTAAATCGTACTGGGGCCATCCTTAAAAAAATGTTCGTTTGCAGTATCCCGACCCAGAATTTTCAAGGTGGGTAGGTAGGTCGATTTTTTTTTTTTTATTGAACTGTACTCCCAAATAAACATTGAATTTCAAAATGCTGGACAATATATGCTTTGATAATCTGGTAACAATTAATAAATTGATAACTGAATTCTAATTTAATAAGACCTTGAGCTCTAAATGGCCACTGTTGATTCTGACAAAGTGGTATGCGGGGGTATTCACGCCATGATAGTGGCAGTTCTAGTTTCTTCTATTAACCTTTAAAAGAACGAAAACAAAGCACAAGGCATAATTTTCTGATTCAAAAAAAAAATTTTTTTTATCCAGACCATGAAAAAAAATTTTGAGTAGGGGCAAATTTTGTGAGTCGGTCGCGTTACTGCAAACAAAAATTTTTTTAAGGATGGCCTGGTTGGAATTCAAAAAAACTTCATACAATGTTCAAGCACAATAAGAGGAAGTGCAGTGCACAAGAACTATTATAACTCTGTCCAGAGTAATTATAGAGTTATTGCCCTTAATTGCTTTTCCATTGCTTTTTATGCTCCCCGAAAAATTTCGGGGGAGCATATAGTCGGCGCCTTGTCCGTCTGTCCGTCCGTCCGTCTGTCCGTCCGTTGTCTTGTCCGGAGCATAACTTGAAAAACCCTTGGAGATAATTTGTTGAAACTTCATACAGTGGTAGAGGGCATCGAGGGGGAGTGCAGTGTCAAAGAACCATAACTCTATTTTGCCTGGTTTTTTTGAAATTATCTCCCCTTATAGAAAAAATCTTGTCCGGGGCATAACTCTAAAACTATAAGAGATATCAACATGAAACTTTGTAGGTGAATAGATCTCAATGGGTAGAGATGTGCAGTGCATAAGAACAATAACTCTTTTTTCATCCTAATTTTGGAGTTATTGCCCTTTGTTAATTTTAATACTTTGAACTTTGTCCGGAACATAACTTGAAAACCCTTGGAGATAATTTGTTGAAACTTCATACAGTGGTAGAGGGCATTGAGGGGGTGCAGTGTCAAAGAACCATAACTCTATTTTGCCTGGTTTTTGAATTATCTCCCTTATAGAAAAATCTTGTCCGGGCATAACTCTAAAACTATAAGAGATATCAACATGAAACTTTGTAGAGGTGAATAGATCTCAATGCGTAGATGTGCAGTGCATAAGAACAATAACTCTTTTTGTCCTAATTTTGGAGTTATTGCCCTTTGTTATTTTTTAATACTTTGAACTCGAAACTTTGTCCGGAACATAACTTGAAAACCCTTGGAGATAATTTGTTGAAACTTCATACAGTGGTAGAGGGCATCAAGGGGGAGTGCAGTGTCAAAGAACCATAACTCTATTTTGCCTGGTTTTTGAATTATCTCCCCTTATAGAAAAATCTTGTCCGGGGCATTACTCTAAAACTATAAGAGATATCAACATGAAACATTGTAGGTAGATAGATCTCATTGGGTAGAGGTGCAGTGCAAAAGAACCATAACTCTGTTAAGCCTTATTTTTGAATAATCTCCCCTTTTAGAAAAATCTTATCCAGGACATAGCCTGTAAAACTTATAAGAGATATCAACATGAAACTTTGTAGGTAAATAAATCTCAATGGGTAGATGTGCAGTGCACAAGAATCATAACTCTACCTTGCCTAAATTCTGGAGTTATTGCCCTTTGTTTATTTTACTTTTTGAATTGTCCAGGACATAACTCGGAAATCATAAGAGATATCATCAAGAAACTTTGTAGGTTGATAGATCACATTGATTAGAAGTGCAGTGCAAAGAACTGTAACTCTGCCTTGCCTAATTTTAGAATTATTGCACTTTGAACTTTTTCCACGGACATAACTCTGAAACTACAAGAGGTGTACTTTCCTGTGTCCAAAACCTATTCGGGGAGCATCACCCGGCTCAAACCGGGCTCTTGTTTCTTGTCTAGAGCATAACTTGAAAACTACTAGTTGGAATTAAAAACTATTTCATACAATGGTCAAGTATATTGAGAGGAAGCACAGTGTACAGAAATCATAACTCTTTCTGGACTCATTTAAAAGTTTTTGCCCTTTGTTACTTTTTATTGTCCAGTGCATAAATGAAAATTAATGGTTGGAATTCAATGAAACTTTATACAATGGTCAAGGGCAGTGAGATGAAGTGCAGTACACAAGAACCATAACTCTATTTGGACTAATTACAGTTATTGCCCTTTGTTACTTTTTTGTCCTGTGAATAACTTGAAAACTTGTAGTTGGAATTCAATACAACTTCATACAATGGTCAAGTGCAATGAGAGGAAGTGCAGTGTACAATAACCATAACTCCATCTAAAGTATTTATAGAGTTATTGCCCTTTGTTCCTTTTCGTTGTCTTTCTGGACTTATTGCAGAGTAATTCAATAAAACTTCATCAATGGCCAACCACATTGAAAGGAAATGCAATATACAAGAACCACAACTATCTTTAATTGCCCACAACCATAAATGTATTTCAATTGTTTTACAAGGTATTCTGTTACTAGTAACATCCTCATTTCGGAAGCAGTCTTGCGGAGGTATTAATCACATTTAGTGATAGTTCTAGTTTTAATAATAATTGTGGCATTTTACAGATTAACTCATTGGAAACAGGATTTATTTTTACTGGACGCGCCTGTAGAAGTGGTTCAGGGTGGCACAGTTGTTGGAAGTATAGTATTATCAAGAAATCCAGAATATAGACGACATATTAGAGCAGAGTTTAAGTTTATGGTAACCTCAGGAAATGAAATTGTAAGTACATAACCCCTAACCTGCTGGCTCTGGAAATGATTATACTTTACTGTATCCCAGTATAGAGCCAAGCCTGACTGCCTTTTCCTTGCAGTATGACCATTCTCTATACTATTGATAAATGATCATATCCTCCTTGGGGGCGTCCATGGCCGAGTGGTTAAGGTCATTGACTTCAAACCACTTGCCCCTCACCGCTGTGGTTTCGAATCCCTACAGGGACTTTGGATTCTTTCATGTGAGGAAGCTATCCAGCTAGCTTACGGAATGTCGATGGTTCTACATAGGTGCCTGAAATAAAATGCACGAAAGGGCACCTGAGCTCTTCCTCCACCAGTAAAGCTGGAACGTCGCGATATGACCTATACTGTGTTGATGTGACGTAAAACCCAATATAAATAAATAAAATATCCTCCTTGTGGCTAAGTGGTTGCCTTTGACGGTAGAGGCATCAGAATTGCAGCCACTGTTTATCCCTGCATGATCATAAGAGGGAACTAAATGGGTTCAAATTTCTGGAGTCTATGCATCTCTTAGCTCCAGCAGGCACCAAAAAGATCGTGTTGATCTATATTTATTTGTTTTTATTTTAAATTTGTTGGTTTATTTTGTGGTTACTTAAATCAACACCAGCACTGTAATGGTCAAATGGCAACTTTCCAGCTTTGCTTATGAGGAAGATCTCAGATGTCCCATTTCAGACACAAGGGGGCATTTTTATAGAAGAACCACTGACCTTCTGATAGCTTCCTCATATGAAAGATTCATAAGTCCCTGACATGATTCAAACCCATAGGGGTGAGAGTCAAGTGATTTGAAGTGCATGACTGTAACCACTTGTCCCCGGAGCCTAGTTGTACTAATTAGTGTGTATATAAAGTCATGTTTCAAATATTTTATATGTTTCTCTTTGTATTAAATTTAAATTTTAAATGTTTCTCAGGTTTTAGCAACAACTTGCATGTTTCTCTGTATTACAAGTTACAACAGATAATATTCTATTTGTTTTCAGTGTAGTAAGCACAAGAAAAAATTCTTCATATGGAGATAAGTTTCTCTGTACATTGACCTGATCATCATGAGATATCATAAGACGTTAACTTACAGATGACTTGCAGTCGTCAAACCAGGCTTATGACACTTATAGAGGTAGTAAAGCAGATGCTTTTATTGCACAATGTCAGCAGTCCAGACTCAAAACTCCTTGGCACTTTCCATCAATCTTCAGAAAAGGAACTTTAACAAAATAGTTAGAATATACTAATCGTACACGGTATCTCATTTTACAATCATTAAAATATAAAAACATGTAGACAAGTACATGTAATTAATAAGTGTTTAAAATAAATAACTCATTTTATCTTTTTATTATATATTATGTGTAATTTCACCTGTTTCATACAAATTCAAAGGTACAAAAGTAAAATGATAAAAATTTATTGACTTTATTATTATTATTAGAAATGAAGTTTTTGTCAAACTTTAACAGCAGAGCAAAACATGACAGATAATCAAGAAGAATTATCTATCAATTTTGTATTTTGAATTTATAAGATTTATATTGGTCTCAGTTGTATTCACATAACATATAAGACATATAAGTCTGAATTGCCTCAAAGCAACAAACAAATGTTGAATAGTCATTGAACTCCTGTAAGACTTGTATTATATATCTCTTACCAATCACATGCTGGTAATGAGAGCCATTTACTTTTGCCATCAGTATAGGGTCAAGTCAGTCTGCATTTCCATGCAGTCAAAATTGTTTAAAGAAATCTATCCCATGCAGGGCTAGGGCTTATATATATTTCATATGTTATATTGTTTGGTGGTCAAAATTACCAGCCCCCCTCCCACTAACGACTCTGCTTCGTGACCCAGTGACCTATTTATGTATTTTAAGCTACAGCTATTAAATTTGGCCTAGGTGCACATTTGCAAATGCAAAATTGTACTTTGATACCAGTTGACCTAGATATTGATCCAGTGACCTACTTTTTAGCTCATCTGTCACAAAGTGACATGGTGAGCTTTTGTGATTGCTTTTCAACCGTAAACTTTTACTTTAAAAGACATCTCCTCATTAACTGCTAAGCCAATTTCAGCCAAACCTCACAGAAATGTTTCTTTGGTAGTCAACTTTAAAAATTGTTCAAAGAATTTAATTCCAAGCAGAACTTTGGTTGCCATGGCAACCAAAAGAAAAAACTTAAAATATATTCTTTTAGAAAACCATAAAAGCTAGAGCTTATATAGTTGGCATGAAACATGATTTAGTCAATGTCTACCAAGTTTGTTTAAATAAATGCCCTAGGGTCAAAATTGGCGGGGCCCCGATGGGTCATTGATTTTCTTTATTTGTATATAGTAAAAACTTAAAAAAAATTCTTTAAAAAACACAAATAGCTAGAGCTTAGATATTAAGCATGAAACATCTAGTGGGTGTCTACAAAGATTGTTCAAATAAAAGCTCTGGGGTTAAATTTGGCCCCGCCCCAGGAGGTCATTGGTTTTCCTTATTTGTATATAGTAAAACCTTAAAAAATCTTCTTTTAAAATACCAAAATAGCTAGAGCTCAGATATAAAGCATGAAACATCTTCTAGTTGGTGTCTGCCAAGTTTGTTCAAATAAAAGCCCTGGGGTAAAAATTGGCCCTGCCCCAGGGCGTCATTGTTTTTCACTTTATATTTATATAGTAAATACTTAAAAAATCTTCTTTGAAAAACTCCAAAGAGCTAGAGCTAAGATATTTAGCATGAAACATCTTCTTATGTTTATCTACCAAGTTTGTTCAAATTAGGGCCCTTTGGTTAAAATTGGCCCCGCCCCAAGGGTCATTGATCTTCCTTACATGTGTATAGTAAAAACTTAAAAAATCTTCTTATAAAAATCCCAAAGAGCTTGTGTTTAGATACTAAGCATGAAATATCTTGTAGAGTGCCTACCAATTTAGTTCAAATAAAAGCCCTGGGGTCATAATCGGCCCCTCCCAGGTGGGGTCATTGTTTTTCCCTATATGTATATACTAAAAGCTTAAAAAATCTTCATATAAAAACCCCAAAGAGCTAGAGCTTAGATATTTATCACGAAACATCTTCTAATGGGTGTCTACCAAGTTTGTTCAAATAAAAGTCCCTGGTTTAAAATTGCCCTTGGCCCAGGGGCCTACAGGTGAGCGATTTCAGGGCCATCATGACCCTTTTGTTTAGGAAATAGATATCAATTCTGAGTGCATTGTTGTAGAATAATGCACGGTTTGAGTTCAAATGCGTAGCAATATAATCACGAAGGCCGATAGGCCTGAGTGATTAATTGCAAAGCATTTTCGTGAACGAAAAACGTGTATTATTCTACAATAGTGCAAAAAGAATTTATAGCGAGCTCGACGAGCTGGCCCGAAGGGCCTGCTCGCAAAGCGAGCTTTACGGTAACGCGAGTACCTGCTAAGTGATGGTTTTGAAAACTTTCGTCCGAAGTACCGAATTGGACACATCGCAACTTTTCGAATTTAAAGATAACGAATAAAACAGAGGAATTCTGACTGAAAACGGATGTGTAGACTGGTCACCCGCGCACGTCTATGGGAACCATAATTGGACAGGGAACCAGAACAACGGAAGCTGTGTATAAAATAACGAATGACAGTTTTAAAATGGAAAATGTAAAATGAAAATTGAAGGCGCCATTTTGTTTGAAAAATCTGATTAATAAAAACCTTTTTTGTCGAATTTTGATGTGAAAACTATCTAGAATGAAAGAAAATGGTCTAACTAAGAAAATGAATCCGAACACCAATATCTTTTATTCAGTCTTTAACGCTGTTCAGACGTTTAAAGTATTGTTTACGTGACGTCACAATGTACCGCCAAACAGCACGTGCAAAACAATCAAATCGAGTACGCAAAAGTTTTAAATTTAAAATTTATTTCACTTTTAATAATCTTTATTTCGCTTGAAAAATTATAGAGTGAAATAAAATAAACAAACAAAGTTTTATCAACGTTTCCAAAACTCGTTATTCATTTAACGACAGGGGCGGAGCCATATTTAACACAGTACGGGTGACGTCACACGCACTCGTCACTGCATTTGAAATAAAAATGAGCGATTATTTCATACTATTTCACGTAAAAAGTACATCGAGCTCGCTTTGAGGCTTTGCCTTTTTCATATTATATATTTCCTTTCTAACACGTCAAGAAAAAATATAATTATCAGTATAAAGTTGGACTTTATGTTTGGTGGTTAAATTTGTTTTCTCCTCAGAGTTTCCAATAGAAACGTTCTTTAAAGGCTGTTCCAGTTGGTTGAAAAAAAATGTCGTTAAATCTACCGTGTTAAATCTACATTATGAAATAACGAATTTTGAAAACGTTGATAAAACTTTGTTTGTTTATTCTATTTCACTCAATAATTTTTCAAGCGAAATACAAATTATTGAAAGTGAAATAAATGTAAAACTTAACTCTTTTGCGATATTTAAATAGAGTACTTGATTTGATTGTTTTGCACGTGCTGTTTGGCGCTACATTGTGACGTCATGTAAACAACACTTTATACGTCTGTACAGCGTTAACGACTGAATTAAAGATATTGGTGTTCGGATTCATTTTCTTAGTTAGACCATTTTTGTATTTTCTGATCGCAAGATCAGTAAATACTTAGCTAACATCCACGGTCTAACACAAATTTTCCTAACAGACCTAACAACGCAAAGTAGTTCTCACTCAGAACTGCTTAAAAACCAGCAATTTAAAATAAAGAATAATTTTTAATGTATGCATTTAACGAATTACAGTGCATTAAAAGTGTAGAGTTGTCAGTAGAAATATGAGGTTACAATCACAAATTTCGCGGATGAATATCTTTTTTACCCAATGAAAAATGTTCGGCTATTTTCGTAAAGCTTAATCAATGAAAATGCTATTTTTAGCTATGTCGATTACCAAATACTCCAGAGCGTAGTACACAAATAAATCTGACTGTCGAGTAGTGGAATATATACATGTCGTACTGTTTTGGCGAGAAGATTTTCGCTAAATTATTTTCATCAGTGTTAAACAACAGGTTTATAGTGAAGAAAATACCTCGAAATTAGTAAGGATTACAAACACGGAATGGAAATTCTCAATTTAGAATTACAATGTATTTGTTATTATTCAAGCTACATATGTATTACTTCACCGTGGTGCAGAGGTAGCGCGCTCGTTTAGGGTGTGAGAGGCCCAAGGTTCAAATCCTAGTCGAGGCAACTTTTTTTTTTGAAGTGTCTTTTTTAAGGAAGTAGCCACGATATGCAAGGATAAAGTATGGCTGTCATAAAAAATGAAAATGATTTTTTGATGCAACTCTAGTCATGCAAAATTCCATATGTATCAATCTCAAACTGCGTTATAGGCGCAGTCGCTGCGTAAGATTAATTATAGTACATAAAAATAAATTATATAGGAAAATGCATACAGATAGTCAGTATGATTTAGATTGCAAAGGTCAGAAAATACCACAGAGGTTGCAGCCCTTTGATCTTTCATTCTAGATATTTTTCACAACAAAATTCGACAAAAATTGTTTTTAATTTATCAGATTTTTCAAACAAAATGGCGCCCTCAATGTTAAAATACACAGGGAAATAATAAGAACGGCGAGTGCATTGTTGCAGAATAATGCACGCTTCGGGCCTTCTTTGTTTATATAGAAAAATTTCCGATAGAGTTAGAATTGTATTTTGAGCTGCAGCAATAAATTTTGGTCTATATGTAGAATTGAAATTTGACTTTGGTTGGGCTAGGTTTTTACATGTGACCTATATATTTGTATAAATAGCTATAGCTTTGAAATTTGGACATGACTGTACAGTTTCAGTCTTAGATGTCATTGCATAACATTTTTTACGTGATATATCTAGTGCGTTTTTGTGTTATTTTCAATAAACATTTTCCAAACACACACACTCGAACGAATTGTGCTTACGCGCAACAGTTTATACTCATTTATGCTTTTAAAAAGGGACAACAAATATTCTATCTAGATTTCAAGGGCGCTGTTTTAAGATTTTTATTATTATGACTCAATAATTCATAGACAAGTAGTTAAATAAATCTGCCATAACTTAGTGTGATCAGGCTTTATGTCCCTTTGCTGTAAATCTTGACACATGAGATATTGGACACGTTTATGGCAATTTCTGGAAACAGCAATAAATAATAAGTGGCTAAGTGTTTTATCAATCTATGTTCGTTTGCATAACTACACGTATTGTCATAAATACTGACTAACTCGCCTTAATTTCTGATAAGCTGAAAATATATATCTAAAATATCCGTTTTATTTAGTTCTTAATAATACATCTCTGTCACCAATCTTAAGCATATTTTTTCCAGATCTAAAGTGTTTTTTTATAAATAAGAGTAAAAAAAAAAATAATAATGAACCACCTG